ATTACGGAAAAACACTGCGACTAGTTTGACAGACAGAGTTAGCTTCATTTTCACCTTTGTTCTTCGATCTTTTCTTTAGAAACGCCTTTCCATCTTACAGGGGAACAACACCGATCGTGTCAAATATGGTATAAATGTAGTTTTTGAAATGCAGTGAACGCGCTGTCCTACCACGCGAATTTGCATTATAACTAATAATAGTTTCATTTTCGAGACCTTTGTGCTCTTCATAAACAAGTATTGGAGAAAAAATGTATTTACTTAACATTTGCTTGGAAAAGCCACGTTTTGCAATCAAAAAAATTAGAAAAAATACGGTTTTTAAATATACAACAAGTGGTTTTTCTCGGAAAATAGTATGTTATAAGTTAGTATAAATTATATTTATACATTTATAGTAATGTGTAGCATAAATTCGTCGTTCAAAAATATTATAACTAATTTATACTATATCCTCAGTAATTTCCAGACAAAATATGTTCCGCGCCCCAACTTTGAGGTTAGTTTTCACCCCTTCAACATCGATGATTACTGATAAAAAGAAAAAAAAAAAATATGGTTCAAATATTTTTTGGAAACTACATTTATGGCAAATTTCATCAAAATCGGTGGTTATCACTTCTGCTTTACGAGATCAACTCCGTTCGAATGTATAGTATAGTTTATATTTTGTTTCTACAAATTTGTCTGATAATATTTGATTATCTCGATATTCTCTGAATCTTTAGTTCTTTGACAATAAATGTTGATGAAGAGACGATTCTGTCTAGAGAGATAAAGTCTGACTTAATTTTCAAACTAACAAGCACATATACATGTTCTCTGTTGAGATTCAGTAATACGTTCGACTCGAGTGAAAAGATGGAAAATTCAAGATAAGCCGACCGAGAGCACACAATCAGAATTAGTTGAGAAAGTAATTTCGCTTTAAAACGAGAGCGTTGCACGCTTACATATCTCTCACGAGGCACAGTTATTAATGATCCTCTCGATTTGAAAATGACTCGCTCGCATGATGATGATTTCGCGCATGAACGAACGAGAAAAATATCTCGCAGTGGTTCCATCTTCAGATTTAGATTTTATCACGCCGCGGTGCTTCGAAGGGTAAAAACATAAATTAACTGCGAAAAAATAACTTCGCTTAAATAAATTGTATATACTGTGAGTTTTTAAATGTCGAAACTTTGGCAAAAGGACCGAAAATCGTCTCTTGCTCCAATTTAGAGAAAATAACAGATTTTAATTTGTTCAGTAAATTTATAAACTTTTTTCGGAGAATAGGTGAGGGATACTCATAAATGAAAAGGTTGGGAATCGCTGATACAGGCGATAACAGATGATGATAAAATAGGTGGTAATATCAATAAGTGTAAATAAATAAATGGACAATCGACTTTCACCAAGATGCCGAACGTTTCGACGTTTAAATTCGGGACAGCCTGTACAGCTACATAAAATCGAAGAGAAACTAGTTTAAAAAGATGATTTGTACGATGGATAATTATTCGACGAACGCGTACGGTGGTAGACGAAAGCTCCTATGGTTCGAATAAATTGAAATCCCACACGGGGAGAGAGAGCAACAAACGGTGGAATCGATCGATCGATCGCCATCGATTAATTCGGTGCTGGTTGCGCTCCATTCATCCTCGTTGTCGTCAGTCGTGATTGATCCATCATGAACGAGGAATCCTCTCGATCGCCATGTTACGCCACGTCTTATCTGAATACATCTGACTGTAAAGCATCGACCGCGCTCTCGTCGATCCCTCTTGTGGGAAACACATGATACAAACACCGTGTTTCCAATTAAATCTCCGTAGGGATCTGTGTTTATTGAGAAATAGTTTAGCAACGAACATTTAGCAAGATGTTCCGACTGTTTCGTTTTATCTGAAAGATTTCTGACTCTGTGGTCCATAAAATCACCACGATAGAAATTAACGATTGAATTGACGCCAAAATGGCCAATTTCGTTCGAAATGTTATAGACGCGAAGTAACGTGTTCTCAGCGATTTAAATGATTTAAATGATTCGTTAAAAAATCGTTGTGAGCTACAGTGTCTCCAATCGAAGTTTGTATGTTTTAATCGCCGGTAGTTCCTAACGTTCTAGAGTTCCCAAGGGTTGGTCATTTGGACAGTGAGGATAAAGGCTGCATTGAGGCCTGCAAATTTGTGAAAATTGCACTCCGCGTGCCTCAATAGGAAGAGACGCCCGGGTTTCTGTGTAATTCGTGATCCGATTCTCCAAGCATCCACGCGAACAACACCTGTAGGGTGCAGCGCACTCTAATAAGCATCCTGTAACGTGGATTTCTCCTTCTCTTCCCGACCTTCTTATTTCCCTTTCACGTTTGCTGGCAAACTTGTCATTCATCTCTTTCCCCCCTCCCCCCCCCTGGCGTTGTTCTCTGAAGCAGAGAACCCGGGGCCGCCCCAGGCCGCAAAAACTTCGCCATTGGACGATCGATGAACCGGCGAGAGTCTCAGCGTGGCAGCGACGATTATTAATAATTCCCGCGGTATAATTGATGGTCCGGCGCGGGATTTCTGTTCGGTTAGTACACGTTACACGTTGATACCCCGATCGATCGACAGTTGTCTCTAAAAGCGACTCCGGCGGGGTCGGGCCGCTCCTTTGAATCCTTTCATCCACGTCCAACGACTTCGACTTTCTCTTCCTCTCCCAGCCGCGTACATAATGAAGCGTGTTTACCGATTCGCGACGCCTCGTCGCGTCCACTCGCGCCGCGTCCACAGAAACCGCCGAAACTGTGCGCGCCCGGGTAAAAGTGAAGTTTCGATGGAATCGAATCGCTATGAAATCTCCTTGATCTTTCTCACTCTGACGCTGTTTTTTTTTTTTTTTTTCGTTTCGTTCGTCATCCACGTAAGCAGTAAAATTATTTTGATAAATTTTGGATCGAATTGTTACTCCAGTTGGATTAATTGTGATAATAATTTGAATTTTTAAAATTTCCATTACAAACTTAAGTTTAGTTAATAGAATTTGTATACTTATGAATTTAATTTTGATAATATTTATATATATATATATATATAAATTTATTATTTTATTTTATTTTGTATTTTAATCTAGATTATTGATAAATTTCGACTTGATGCTTCGTTCTATTTAATATTTTCTACTTTGGTATTTCCATTGCCATTTATTCATTGAATTATCGTAGAGAAGATCTATATATTGGACTTTTTAAAGTTACGCGAAATAAAATCGGGCTATCGACAAGTGTAAGAATTTCAAACTAAATTAATACACGTAGAACGATTTGAGTGAGCTAACACTGATTTGGTGAGGGATAAGACCGCAAAGACCTGGAAATTCAAGGACGATTCTGCATACGGTGGAGAACGTACAAACGCATTCGTAATTAACTGGCAGATAAGGAACAATCGCTGAATTTAATTGATGATCCGCTGGAGAACCTAAAAGCCTCATACATCTTGACGATTTCCTCGGCGTTTACTCTCGCCACATTATCAGTTGGAACTCGATTTACGACATCGCGCCATGTGGTACGCGCTCGTCAATCCCATGCTGGTCGACGTTGAAAAGTAAGGAGAAAACAATCGTTGTCATGCTTCGTCATTCGTAAACCATGAAGAATGACGAGAAAGGAAAAGAGAGAGTTTGTGTCAAAGTCAGTGGAAAATGCAGATTGCTTTTTTAACACCTTATCGAACGACGGGGGAAAAATATACACGCTGATAGTTTTAATAAATGCCTTTATTTAATAGAGAAAGAAATATTTTTTACTCGAAACTAGCAAAAATAGAAAATTTCATTCAAATTTTACGAGAAAGTTACACTTCGCGAACAATAAAACATACGTATACCTATTTCGCAATATAATTCGCAGAAATAAAAAAAATTTCAGTCCGTATGAAATTACGAAAATTTAATAATTTTCATTTGTATAAGAAACAGGTATTGGGACAATTTTCTATGTGGAACGGGACAAAAACAACGCCTGACGACATTCGACGTATATTTGACGCTAAATTGACGTCACTCGCAGATAAAGCTTTAATATCGGCGGTTGATCTTTCGCGTAGATCGCGAAGTTGGCGTGTTCCTATCGAGCGAGCGCTTTGCATCCGCATTCATCGGCGAAGAAGGGAAAGAAACGCTTGAAAATGCAGCCGAGTAAATTCCTTTCTTTCGCGCCGGGCTCGATATAATAAATACACGTCGCGTTGCAGCGAGTGAGCGCGCCGATTAATACGCTTCGTTCCGGACAAAGACACTTCATTAATAATCAGAAACACTTGCTTTGTATCCTCCGCGCTTTCCGTTCGTCCCTCTGTTTCTCTCCGAAGGGATTCTCCCGCGCATTAGCCCGAGCAGCGCCTCGAGTCGTGCTCCTCGAAGCGCGTTAATCAACCGGCGCGGCGGAATTAATTGGATTTCGGGGGTGAACGTTAACAATCGTGGCTCGTTTGCAACTCGACGGAGAGGGACACTGTTTTTTGTAGGCGAGGCCGTCGTTACGGGGCCGCGTAACGACCGCGAGATCG